CCTTCCCTCCTCTCCTCCTCCTCCTCCTCCTCCTCCTCCTCCTCCTCCTCCTCCTCCTCAGCCGTTTCGGCTCAGATTGTTTCTGAACTAGCAACAGCATACCTCTTCGAAGCGGCCAAGTGCTGTTGCGGGCCTTTGGCTCGGATTTGGTGATTTGCGAGCTCCTGCTGGAGCATTCCTATCCTGCTCCCGAGGGAGCGAAGCATGGATGCAGTCGTCAAAGGGCCGCGGACGCCCTATTGGGGCTGCCAGAAGTGCGGGAGAACGAGTAACTGGGCGTGCAGGCTGCAGTGCCAATGCGGGCAGAAGGCACCCAAGCATGCTCTCGACCGTGCAAAGACCTTCGGCAGTGGTGCGGGCTCTGGTGTGTCTGCTCCTCGCGGGGGTCCTGGTGGTGGGTCACATGTGCTCGGTGATAAGCGACAGGCGAAGCTCCAGAAGCAGCTGGCAGACATCTCCAAGCGTTTCGACATGCTCCTCAAGTCGTCCCCACGGGGCGGCAGCAACGTCGGCGGCGGCAAAGGCGGTGCGAGCCCTGGCGTAGAGTCAGCTGAGCAAGCAGAGGACCCCCTGGTGGCCCAGACGGCGGAGCTCGAGCTGGCCATCAAGGCGCGTGGCAAGGAGCACATGTCCTCAGCCAAGGGGTTGCTGGTCACTCAGCTGCGCGAGGTGCGCGCCAAGCTGGAGGCCAAGAAGAGCGACATCACCCAGAACCCCAACGTCGGCCACCGCCTGGCGAAGGCCGAGAAGCAGTTGGCGAAGCTCACAGGTGAAGTGGAGTCGCAGAATGACGTTATCAAGGAAGCCACGGCCAAACGCGATGAGCTGGAGGCCAAGCGCCGGGCGGTGGCTGTCGAAGTGGATGCACTCCAAAAGCAGCTGGTGGTTTCTATTCCTCGTGGCGTGCCACGTGCCAAGCCACCACCGCCTTCCCTGGAGATTTTAATCGAGATGCTCGAAGGCAAGGAGGCAATCAAGTCGATGCTCGAGAGCCAGGCGTTCAAGGAGTACGCGGCCCTTTTTGCACAGATCCAGGAGGAACAGGTTCCTGACGGCGATGCTGCTCCTCCTACTGGCCCCCCTGCCGAAGATGATGTGGAGGAACTACCTCAAGCCTTCGCCGATGACGCAGTAGCCGAGAAGTTCTGGGAAGAGCATCGTGGAGACAAACGGGCGATTTGCCAGGCGCTGGCATCGGGAGCGTTTAAGCGGGCGAAGACTTCGGGTTCCTGACGGCGCTGAAGGAGTTCACCCTGTTCTGAGGGCCTCCACGCTGGAGGCCCAGGCTCAGTCATGTTGTGGAGCGGCTCCAGTCTTGGAGCAAGGTTTTCCTGGTCATGTTTTGTCGGAGGCCTCTGATGAGGCCCGAGTCGGCGCGGACGCGCGGACCCCTCGCCCCCACCTGGCGAAGGGCGCGGGGAGAAAAACCGCCTGGGGCAACGGGACCGTCGGCCCAGGGAGCGGCCAGGGTAGTCAGAGCTCGGTCTCACATGACCCTGGCAACCTCGGGGCTGCGGCCCGCTCGAGCAGAGTGAAGCCCCACGTGGGGCAGCCCCTCTGCACTGGTTTCAAAGTTTCTAAGTTCGGGACGGGCTGCCCTCCACCGCCTGCTACGTTAAGGCCGATGACCTACCAGGGCAGGTTTTTGAGTGCTAGAACGGAAACAATTGGGGCACTCTGGAGAAACTACTCAGACGTTCCGAAGCGCTGGTCCTTTTCGCCCAAGAGATAGGCATCACGGACGAGACACAAGGGGATAAGACGGCCAAAGCACTGGCGATGGGCTGGCACATGCTCTGTTCTCCCTCAGTTCCCGCAGGCCGTGGGCAACTCTCAGCGGGAGTGGCGATATTCGCGAGGACCACAGTGGGCCTCAGGTGGCCCAGTCGGCCACCACGTGGCGTTTTAGTGTCCCATCGTCTGATCACTGTCGAGTTGGACATCCGGCAATGGCCTCAACCAGTGTTGGCAGCCTGCGGGTACCTCCATGATTCCGAAGGCCTCTCGAAGCGCAACCTGGCGATTTTGAAGGAAGCGGGCGAGGCCCGAGGGCCAGCACCTGGCCATTTTCGGAGCGGACTAGATCCTGCAGTCGTCGATCGTCGAGATGTCGGGTCTACCACGGAAAGCCAACATGGTCATCTTACAGCCTCCAGCCGAGACATGTTCCACGGCCGCGGCTAATTCGTACATTGACTACTTCGCGGTGTCTCCAGCGGTCGCGAAGCTGGTCGATCAGACCCTCACCATCGAGGCGCGGCTGCACCGTCCGCACAAGCCTGTGCAGCTGCAGTTCAAGGCAGGTGTTAGCGGGATCAAGCAGTTGGTTTATCAAACGCACAAGCGGCTCCCACGCGAGCTCCCTTTTGGACCCTCCCCCGAGCCCCCGCGATGGGAGGTCCCAAGGGCCCTGGCCGAAGAAGCTAACAGAGCTGCCAGCGTTGATTCGGTGCTCGCGGCGTGGGAGTTACCCCCGGCCGCGTGGAAGCGTTTTTCTGGTGCCATGGAGGTCGAGTTAGAAGGTAAGCTGGACACTCCGATCAAGAACAAGGGCCTCAAGGGGCTCCCTCCCTCTGCGAAGTGGGTTTCGGTGTTTACTAAACCACGTCGGACTCCTGAGGATGGGGAATTTGACTCCAGCAGAACCTCAGAGACCTCCAGCGCACGGCGTTGCGAGTTCATGAGAGCCGCGACCTGATTGTGCACCAGGACATTCAGGCCGCGTTTAACATCTGCAGCATCATCCAGCCGCCCTTTTCATGGGGAGGGCCTGTCCGTGAGGCTGGACGCCACGGTCAGTGCTGCCAGGCAGTTAGTTGCGTCTCGGCCTCAGGAAGGAGGTCAACTGTCGGGTTGGCTCGAAAAGATCAAGCAAGCTCTTGATGATTGGGGTGACGATTTTGACAGTGCCCGATCGAGTCTTGACACGCGTGCTAAGGTGAGCTGGGATCAGTGGCAGCACGAGGCGTTATCAGGCTCTGCATGGAAGATGCACAAGCTGTCCCTTCTTAAACCCAAATGGTTGCCAACGATTATCGAGACGGCCCCTGGTGTTTTTTTTTCGGCCGACCCGCGAAAGCTGCTCGCGAATGAAGCCGACGTGTTAGGGTCCTACTGGCAGGCGCCCCCGAGCCCTGAACCTCTGGAGGTCCTGGACAGGCAATGTTTCGAGCGTCTGAGGCCTGAAGATATCCGCGCCACGTGCAAAACTTTCAGGCCTCACACCGCTCAGAGTTTGGACGGCGTGCACATCAGACACGACGGGATGCTGTGCGACGCTGGCCTCGAGGCCCTCGCGTGCATTTTTCAGACGATTGAGAAGATCGGAGTCTTCCCGAAGGCCGTGTGCTGGATGCTTCTCCCCTTCTGGAAAAACCCAAAGGGTGGGCTCCGTCCCGTTCTGCTCTGTGCTGCCCCTGTGAGGCTGTGGGAAAAAGCTAGGCGGCCCATGGTCCAGGATTTCGAAGCCCGACACCCGAGACGGCATTGGGCGTTCGGGGCGGGGAAGCCGGCGGAACAAAGCATTTGGAATCAGGCCGTCAAGGCCGAAGCTCATGCTGGGGAAGGGAGTGTGACGGGAGGCTTCTCTTGGGACGGTTCCAAGTACTACGAGCCCTTCCGATTAACCACTCTCCGTGACCGCTCGATTGCGGCTGGGCTGCCCAGCGCGGTGGTCAAGGTCACTTTCAATGTTTGGCGAGGCCCGCGCATCCTCCGTCTCGGGACGGATCATAGTGTTGCCCCGTTGTATGCTACGCGCGGGCTGCCTGCTGGGTCGCGTTTCAATGACATTAATAATAAGCTGTATGCGCTCGAGCCCTTCGACCAATTTCTCGCGCACAACCGTGATGTGGACTTGGCTTCCTACGTTGACGACGATACGGTCAGCGCCTATGGAAGTCCAGATCACGTCGGAGGTGCTGGGGAAAGCAGCCGATGACCTGCACGATGTTTCTCGGGGTGAGTTAGGAGTCGGACTTGCGGCCGACAAGCTTCTGACCTTCGCCTCCTCGCCTGCTCTGTCGCTGCGGATTGGACGTCGGCTCGGGACTCTGGCGGGCACCGTGGGGACCCATGTTGTCTCTCTGGGCGTCGACCTGGCCCCTGGGGTTAAGAGGAATGCTAAGCAGGCGCGTGGCAAGAAGAAAGTCAGACTTGCGGATATGGTTCGAAGGCATCGTAAGTTGCAACGCTTGAAGAGGGCCCCCCCCAGGGGCAAAGGTAGGATTGGAAAAATCTACACGGCGGGGGCCCGACCTGCGGCGTCTTTCGAGGACACGGCCACGGGCTGCACCGACGCTGAACTGAAAAAGATCAGGTCGGTTATGCGTTTTGTTTTCTTCGCCCGCGCACGCGGGAGTTTCGGCCCGGGCGAAGACAGCGCTGTTTGGTGATCCAGTTTGGCGCAGCATGGTCGCGCCTGCCTTAGCTTGGGCCTTTGCCGTTTGGCAGACGACAACTAAGCCAGCGCTCGCCTTCGTCACGATTCCCGAGCTGCGCAACATGTGGTTGGCGGCGCCGAAGGACGGCCTCACGTGGGAGAACTCGAAGGGCCCCATTAGCCGCATGTTTTTGTCGCTCCAGCGCATTGGCTGGGAGGCCCTGGGACCGTTTTTGTGGAAGGATGACAAGGGAAACGAGCTGTCGTTGTTGCACAACTCCCCTGCTATGTTAGGGGCCCTCCTGCGCGAAGGAGTCCAGAGGCATCATGAGAGGCCCCTGGCCGCCAAACTCGGATGGGGGGAAGGGGGGCGCGCACGCGTTGAACCGATCCGTCGAATCATTCAGGCGTCGGGCAAGGGATTGGGCTCAACGCTCAAGGTAAGTACACGGTCAGGTCCATGTTCTGCAACGGTTGCTGGTGCGAGGACCGCGCCGTCAAAGCTGGTTATGCATCGTCGGGATTGCGCCCTCTCGGCGGCCTGCCCGACTCGCTGCAACATAGATTGTACCACTGCGTGGGTAGTCCTGAGGCCCGCGCTGCCCGATCGGCCGTTGAGGCCAGTGACTTCTTTTACCAGCAGGTGCAGGATGGCCCCAGCGAGTTCTACACAGGACTCAAGTTTCGCCACCCTGCTAGTTCGTGGCCGCTGCCCAGCGACGAGCACGAGCCCATGCTGTTCGCCGCGGACGGCTCGCCCTTATCCTGGAACGAGTTTGACACCACGGGGCTGAGCGTTTCTGGAGATGGGCCCTGCGTCCCCCATGCCATCAAAGAGCTTTCCAGGGCAGCGTACCCGCGGGTGTTCATGGGGCCCGAAGGGCAGCAGGTGGCGACGGTGAAGGGTACAATCTGGCCTTCACTACCGCAGACGAGCCAGGCAGCCGAGCAGATGCAGCTGAGTCTGTTGCCGATTTTCGTGCCGAGGTATGGTGAAGCGTGCTATAGCGACTGTATGAATGCTGTTCGATTACACAACAGTACGCCACAGCAACAGCTCAGCCACAAACATAAGTACGCGGGCCTGCGCAGGGGAGCGTTGCAGCACATAGTTAACAGTACGTATGCCCCAGCTGTTTTCACCCCAGCGCATAGAGAGCTGAGTGTGATTGATGCGCTCCCTGCCCCAGAAAGGTGGGTAGGCCAGGCTAATTGGCAGGCTGATCTAGTAGCTAAGACTGCGCTCAGGTTGCACACACAACCATCAGGCGCCGAGGTGGAGGCGGTCAATCACGCCTTGGAGCAGCTCCAAACAGTTGCTCGCCTCGCTGCGGGGATCCTCCCACTGTTTCCGAGGGTCCAACACCAACGTCCGCCGACAAAAGAGAGCCCTGTCAAAATTTTTGATAAGAATGATGGCTGGCATTATTGGGAGCCCTGGCTATGGGGCTCTAGATGCATTAGTTGTTTGAAGTTCTACAGTGGAACGAAGGAAGCGAGACCCGAGGCGGGTTGGTCTGGTTTCCCTGCGAGGGTGAAGGAGCTCTTGACCCTGTCCCCTCGCCACGGCCACCAGCTGGCCTCAACCCAAGTGGCTAACCAGTCGAAGCCACTCTTCTTTTGCATGCTGTGCGGATATTCGCCCAGCATAGGATTTTCAAGTTGGTCAAGCGTTGTCGACAACCTCGCACGGACGAGGAAAGGAGCAGCGCGGGAACGACAGCTCTCAGAAGATTGCAGAGAGGATTGCACCCGAAGAAAGAGCTGTCAGTCACATGTGCGGAGCACGAGGCTCCACTCACCCAGGAAGAAGCTAATTCGTACGAGCAGGCGGTCCAGCCTGTGCGTATTCCAGCTCACGCCAGCTACCTTGAAAGACTGGCGGCACTGCGAGCGCGTATTGCTGCGAAGGAAGCGGGCGCGGTGGAGCGGGGAGCGGGTGGGGGAGTGACACGTCAGGCTTCGGCTGGGGTGAGGTCGTCTAGACCCGCCCCCAAGCCTAGTGGCGATATGTTCGAAGCAGAGGAAGAAGCTTCACGTCTTTGGTTTGAGAGGGGGGGGGCACGTCCCATGCGGCGACGCCCGCCGTCTCTACGGATCCCAGGTCCAGGCTCGGTCGAGTGGACACCTCGCGGGAAGGGGAGGATAACGCTCCCCTCGTCGCAGGCACGGCCAAAGATGACCATGATTCGGGATCGTCGGACTGACGCGCGTCGAGAGGCGGCTGGCCAAGGCCCCCTCCCCGTTTAGAAGGTGAGAGCTGTGGTCTCCTGCTTCTCCCTGACGTTCAGTCCTTTTCGGGCCGCTGTGCGGCCCATTTGAAACTGGTTCGGTCAAGCGTCACCAAAAAATCCTCCTCCTCCTCCTCCTCCTCCTCCTCCTCCTCCGCTCCCCTCCTCTCCTCCTCCTCCTCCTCCTCCTCCTCCTCCTCCTCCTCCTCCCTCCTCCTCCTCCTCCTCTCTCCTCTCCTCCTCCTCCTCCTCCTCCTCCTCCTCCTCCTCCTCCTCCTTCATTCCTGATGAAGAACTTCTTCCTGTCGCACCCCGAGGCTAGTTTTTAGGGCGGTCCAGGCGTTGCGCCTGAAACTTCCTCACCGCTTATGACCCTGAAGCTTTTTAAAAATTGAAAAATGGAAGGCGGGTGGTTTTCAAATGAAGCTCTCGCCTTAGCGCCGCGCACATTCGATTTAAACAATGGCAAGAGTTACACGGATTGAGGGCGGGTAGTTTTCAAAACGTGGCTGTCGCGTTAACGCCGCGCACACTCGGTTTGAACAATTGCAAGAGCTTCGCGGATTGAGGGCCGCTCCGTTTCAAAATGTGGTTTTCGCCTTAGCGCCGCGCACATTCGTTTTAAACATTGGTAAGAGCCTCACGGATTGAGGGCAGCTCCTTTTCAAAATGTGGTTCTCGCCTTAGCGCCGCGCACATTCGTTTTAAACATTGGCAAGAGCTTCAAGGATTCCCATGATCAGCGTACCAAAAATTGTGTTTTGGAAGGGTTCAAGATTATGAGGGCACAACAGTTACGTTGATTCGCGGTGTTGGTGTCCCAAGAACAACGTTCTGGCACGATTCAGGACCGTCAAGACGCAATGGTCAGGTTGATCCGTGGCGTTGGAATACAGAAAAAAATGTTTTGGCATGCATCAGGGTCTTCAAACGGCTACCTTCCAACCAGGCAGTTCCCTCAGTGGAAATGAACCCTTGTATGGGGCCTATGAAGAGAGAGTTTGGAAGGAGGGTTTCTTCACACATCGTTGATGACTCTTGGGTTTACACTGGTCCTCCTCCTCCTCCTCCTTCTCCTTCTCCTCCTCCTCTCCCTCCTCCTCCTCTCCCCCTTCTCCCCCATCCTCCTGTTTCCTCCTCCTTTCTTTCGCCTACTCCTCGCCCTCCTCTTCCTCCTTCCGTCCTCCTCGGCAGGCGGGCCGGGCTGGGCGAAGGGGACATAAAGTATGCTGCGTCGCGTCAGCATTTGCCTGGCACGCGGGCGCCCGTGGCGGGCGGGCCGGGTCGGGCAGGTGGGACTTGAAAATATGTTGTGGTGCATCATCACATGCCTGGCACGCGAGCACCCGTGATGGGCGGGCACCTCCCCTCGGGCCCCCCCCCTTCGGGCACCTGTCCTCGGCCCCCCCCCCCCCCCCGGGACCTCCCCTCGGCGACCCCCTTTTGGTGACCCCCCCTCGGAACCCCCTCTCGGGACCCCCCCTCGGCGGCCCCCCCTCGGTAGCCCCCTCGGTGATGGCAATGCTCTACTCACTGGTTCGATGGTTTCAACACAGGTTTTATGGGATATCCCCCGGTCGACCGGGGAAATGAGCAATGGCCTGGAGACCTCGCTCGTACTACACGTATTTGTGTCGTCCACGCAAGAACCGGAGAAGGGGGGGAAAGAAAAACAAAAATAAAGAAACAGCAACAGCTTCCAGGAATAACTGACCAGGGAATCACCCAATTGCCCGAAAGTAGTAGTAGCAATAATCATAATATCAGCACTAGTAGTAGCCACAGCAGTAGCAACAATGATACTATTCGTAGTTGTTTGTGTGGTGGTGATAGCAGCAGCGATCGTGGTGGTAGTGGCAGTGGTAAAATTAATGGTAATCGTAGTAGTAGTAGTAGTAGTAGTAGTAGTAGTAGTAGTAGTAGTAGTAGTAGTAGTAGTAGTAGTAGTAGTAGTAGTAGTAGTAGTCGTAGTAGTAGTAGTAATAGTAGCAGTAGCAGTAGCAGTAGCAGTAGCAGTAGCAGTAGCAGTAGCAGTAGTAGCAGTAGCAGTAGCAGTAGCAGTAGCAGTAGCAGTAGCAGTAGCAGCAGTACTACTACTACTACTGACTAGCTACTGACTACTACTACTACTACTACTACTACTACTACTACTACTAACTACTACTACTGACTCTACTACTACTACGAGTAGTAGTAGTAGTTAGTAGTAGTACTACTAGTAACTATAGTAGTAAGTAGTAGTAGTAGTAGTAGCAGTGGACCCGAAGCGCCCGTAGTATGTAAGTAGTAGTAGTAGATAGTAGTAGTAGTAAAGTAGTAGTAGTAGTAGTAGTAGTAGTAGTAGTAGTAGTAGTAGTAGTAGTAGTAGTAGTAGTAGTAGTAGTAGTAGTAGTAGTAGTAGTAGTAGTAGTACTAGTAGTAGTAGTAGAAGTAGTAGTAGTAGTAGTAGGAGTAGGAGTAGGAGTAGGAGTAGGAGTAGGAGAAGGAGTAGGAGTAGGAGTAGGAGTAGGAGTAGGAGTAGGAGTAGGAGTAGGAGTAGGAGTCAAGCTAGCCAGCTCGAGCGAGTCAAGCATGGCATGCCCAGTCCCACCCGCCCTCCCACAACATAAGAAGCAAAGCTGGCACAACTGGGGGCCGACGTCACACCGGCCAGCCGGTTTGGTACAGCTGATGCGGCCGCGATGGCGGTTGCCGCCGGGAACTGGCGAGCGCGTGTTGAATGCCGCGCACGCATTGCCAGACGAGTCGAGAATGGCCCGGTACACCGCAGGAAGCCAGAGGTGGCCGGAGGAAGCCCGACGGTCTGACAGGACACCCCAAAGCATTTTTGTGAAAAGCATTGGGTTTTTGATGTTTTTATGTTGAAATGCTTGCAAACACACGGTGTTCGGTAGGATTCTGACATGAACGCGCGAGTGTGCTCTTTGTAATATTTTTGCACAGGATTCGCGGCCTGGGTGCATGACAGAGCATCGCGAGTGCACCGCGCGATGACGTGAAATCGCTGGATTTGACAGAATTCTTAAGATTCCTATGGTTTTCCTATGATTTCAGCAAGAGAGCCCGGGCGGGAGATTTGTACAATTTTTGTGAAAAAGCATTGGGTGTTTGATGTTTTTATGTTGAAATGTTGCAAACACACGGTGTTCGGTAGGATTCTGACATGAACGCGCGCGTGTGCTCTTTGTGGTATTTTTTGCAATGGATTATCGCCGTGGACGACAGGACGTCCATGTCGAGAGGAAAAAATAAGAAACATGTTGATTTTGTATTGTTTTTTACAGGTTAGGATGGGACCACCCGGATGCGCCCGCTATCTGCCGGCCTGAGGGGGAGTAGGAGTATATTCTAATAAGGAATAAGGATAGGAGTAGGAGTAGTAGTAGTAGTAGTAGTAGTAGTAGTAGTAGTAGTAGTAGTAGTAGTATTAGTAGTAGTAGTAGTAGTAGTAGTAGTAGTAGTAGTAGTGGTGGTAGTAGTGGTGGTAGTAGTAGTAGTAGTAGTAGTAATAGTAGTAGTAGTAATAGTAGTAATAGTAGTAGTAGTAGTAGTAGTAGTAGTAGTAGTAGTAGTAGTAGTAGTAGTAGTAGTGGCTCGGCTAGGGTGGTGCGGCATGATATGGTTTTTGTTGTTATCAACGTATGAACAGCATCCGAGCATATGAACATCAATCACATGAATACCGTTCACGCAAATGAGCACCATTCAAGCAAAATCATACAGTATGCATGCTTGTGTATATGTAACTGTCTACGA